AGAGAGAGAGAGAGAGAGAGAGAGAGAGAGAGAGGTCTGGCAACAAGCTAATGGTTAGGTAAAGTGGGGAGTTCGGAAAGGTCATGTCATATACGCAGGATTGGGGGGGAGGTGAGGGAACTCGCCAGGAGCGGGCATGAGGGAAGGTAGAGGGAGTTTGGGGAACTGGATCGTGAGATGCTTTCCAGATGACGGCGGAGGTGAGGGGGGAGGGAGGACGAGGCGGAGGATGAGCATGGCGATGATGTGGAGGAGGGTGATCCCAGGGGAGGAGGAGGATGACGATGCGGGAGGAGGAGGAGAAGGCAGCAGAGGGAATGGAAGGCGCGGAAAAAAGAAAAAGATGAAAAAAAAATAGAGCAGATGATAGCGGGAGGAGGAGAAAGAAGGAAAAGGAGGCGGAGGATGGCGATGGCAGTGGAGGAGGACGCGATGGGGGCAGCGGGTGGGAACGTCGACTTGAAAAACAAAGATGAAAAAGAAAAAAGATGATGATAGCGGGAGGGAGGAGGTGGAGGAGGAGAAGGTCGAGATGAGAATGGCCATGGCGGAGGAGGAGGATGGCGATGGCCCAGCAGAAGGGGGTGGGCGATGGGGGAGGATAAGGATCAGGATGTCAATGGCAGAGGAGAAGGTAGGTGATGCTGATGACGAGGAGGGGAATGATGGATGGCGCTACTACACTTGGCATACTGCAATTGGAGGTTGGAGAAGGGACGAGGAGGGGCGAAGAGGAGGGAGAGAGAGAGAGAGAGGGGGAGGGAAGGCGGGACGCTGCACTGTCCACCAAATGGCTCGGACACATGCTGCTGGATTTCTTCTTTGTGTTATGTTTTCCTGGGAATCCTCCAAGATGCTTTGACATGGCCAACGTTACCAGCTCACATCAAGACACGACTGGAGTATGCGACTTAGAATTTACAAGACCTCCTGAAAACAGTGGCAGTCCTACAATCGCACATGACTTACCTCAACTACTCCGAGCAACTCTCAATCACACAGTCTCACCCCACCACACTGAGACCTGTCTCTTATACACATCTAGATGTGTATAAGAGACAGAGATGTGTATAAGAGACAGGGTCTGCATATCAACAGTTCAGCGATGCACCATTCAGCCACATGGGCTGAGCTTTTGCTTCCCCCCCCTCCCCCTTCCCTTCGGTTCCTTTTTCT